CCAGAGATTAAGATAATTCTTAACGATAATCGTTTGGTAAATTATCATCGGTAAGTGTCGAGCACTTAACGCTATATTAAATTGTTCAAAAGCATTGTCTGAGGGAAATCGGGTTAGACTCGTCAGGAATCTCCTCGTTGCACGAATGCAACTCGCGTATAGCCGCCTGGCAGAGACTTCGAGGAAACTCAACCTGAATTCCAACTCAGCAACACCCGGCGTTGGTTACGACGTAATTATCGCTTTTCCGTCTTTTAAATACATTCCTTTACTTCGGATCCCTCTCAATTGGTAAAGAAATTCTTACCGTTGAAAAGAATTAACAATTCGTGAGACGTGAAATATTATCAAAAATTTTACTTACTTCTTATTGACGTTTAATTGTTAAAAGTATGTATCTTCTAGTATTTAGATATTGAATTCTTCTGTCGATCGTACTTTCATTTATAAGAAACAAATTTTGTTATTTCGTTGATTTCGAAATTTGACTTATTTTTATACGCACGAGCGTGTGCAGTAAGATTGTTTTTCGCATTTCCTCTTTCCGCTTTTTAGAACCTCTCGCTCTCACGATAATTATGAAACAAGGTCTGCGCAACGGCAGACTTGAAAAAGCACATGGCCCGTGACAAGAAAAGCCGGTCTATATTCGACAGATAAATGCGATGACTGTCTTAACAGGGAAAAGCCCCGAAGGCACGAGCCGTCTCTAAAAATAATCGGTCTATCGACTTCTCGTACCATATAGGACCGAGATTAGGAATAGGGAACTCCCTGCGCATCGTCGATCCAGTTCCCGTTTACGGACTCAATAAAATAATAACGTTACGTTTCATGATTTAAAACTATAGAGTATATTTAAAAAATTCGACTACGAATCAGAAAAATGTATAAACATAGGCAATTGATTTATTTTACTGGACGAGTCGCAATAATTTAATAAATCATTGCTCCTTGTACCTGCATGTGATATAAAGTATACACCGCGGTCATAAAATCAGTTTTTCCATTTGCGAGTACCGTTAATTCAAAATGACGTACGTAAGTTAGTGAATAATCGTGTCTCGCTCCGGGGCGCGCAGAGTCTCTAAATGATTTATAGCTTGATTAAAAATACTTGACTGATTCGAAAGGTAATCGCATCGAGTATTAGTGGTTAATACTACGAAAAGTAACAAGTGACTTTTGCATGTTGAGATACCTCTCATACGACGATTTGCTTTATAAATTGTACACATGCTGGCGATGTTTCCTTTTTGCCCACTGGTCAACGGAGAGCTTCAGTTTAACGGTACTATCTACTTGTCAGCGGTGAAATTGACAGTCAAACGGATCCATTAAAATGATAACGCGAATATACAAGTAAGTAATGAACAGCTATCAATACGCAGTTCCTTTGAACGTTCGATAAAGATCAAGACACCTTCCACGCGTACACCTGTGATAAATGCGTCCTTTAACATCAATAAGCAGTTTGATCAGACGAGATTTAATGAGAAACTGTATTAATCTTCTAATAACATTCAACGAGAACATGAAACTTATCAATCCTGCTCGGTTATTAATAATGATTTCAAGTTGAGCCTTTCGGACAGATTCGCACAAAAAGCGGGTGGTATGGTTAATCGCGGTGGTCGTTTTCTTTCTTCAATCGGTTTCGTTTTAGCTGTCGGTGGTGGACTTTGCCACACGGTGCTGTATATCCTGTTCGTATTTCTATATAACTCGTTAAGGCCGCGGTAATCGTGGGAACGCCGGTCTTATCAATTTGCAATTGCAAGTATCTAGGAGGGATGGTGAAAACCGATCTGCCCGTGCGACTTCTTGTCCAGTGCGATGCGACTTCGTAAACGATTGTGTGAATCTGACTTTTTATCTATCTGGAGTTACCGCTTCTTGTCGTATCGCAGATTCCGCTCACGTCTCCGCGAGACGCGTAGAGCAGATGAAAGAAAAGATGGAGAAAGACTGAACAGATGAAATAGTTTCTCTACGAGTTTCGATTTCCGAAGCGCCAGTGCCGCCAATACCAGTTCCAGATATCAACACTCGCTCTTGTCGTTTTCTTGCGCAATCCTTCCCTTCGACTTTTGTCTTGTACACGAGCGAACGTGCAAGTGTGCTGGTACAACCATATATGAAATATGTAATGAGTTCCTTGGAGATAAGTCAAGATTGGCTATCTATGATAACCCTTCCATAGTTAAATTATATGCTCGATACTGTATGCTAATACGTGAATGAAACAATCTATCAATCAAGTCTCATACTTTAGCAATGAATCTTTTAGTATGAACCAAGGAAGAAGGTTCTTCTTATTTCTTTCTCTCTTAGATTTTGACAATTTCCAATTGGAATATGTTTTTGTTATAAAGAGTCGAGATTGAAAGCGAGTAAACAAGAGATCGGCGTGCGGTGTGATACGAAATTGAAAGTCGAAGAGAGACAGACTCGGGAGATGTTTCTTTACGCTTCTTCTTTTTCGTTTTCTCGCTGTGTAGCCGTAGAGAGGCGAAGACGTTACCATAAGAAGACATCGCTTGCCATCTTTGGTACTCCGACCGTTCTCCTTCCTCGAGCACGATTTCTGAATTACAAAACCCGGTCCGATACACACATATACGCGTTCGTAGGATTCGAAGGTCGCGTACCTCCTTCGATTTATCGATCGCATCCAACGGATTCAATCCGGTTAATTGGACGATCTTAGCCAATACGTATAATCATTGTTCGATCAGAATTTTTGGATGGAGTCAATCATGATTCGACCATCATCCGTTGATAGAATAGGAGTGTCAAGATCCTCTTATCTGATTATTATATTCATGAGGAAAATAATTTATTTACTCCATTGTATATCAGTAGAAGTACTGCAATAGAACGTCGGTTCTATTGTACATATGTAGAGATACAAAAGAGGAGGCAGTGTAAAGAATCTAAAGAATTTGTACAAAATATTTGGCGACCGTCGCCAAGAATAGAGCAACCTGTTGGGTGCACCTTCGACCCTTTATTAGGAAGCACAATGTCTCCCTTAAGAGCAAGGTCCTCTTTTTCGCGGTTCGAGACTCGCGTAGGTACGCGTTCGCGGGGGGAGAATCGGAGCCGGCAGAGTAGACAGACAAACGCATTAAAAAGCGCCATCGCCATTTACGGCTGTCATCTCGTGCGGATAACCCGTGTGAGTACTTGCAGAGAGAACGCGGAATAAAGGGGGAGAGAGAGAGAGAGAGAGAAAGTGTTTCAATGTGTCCCATTGCAGCTCGTACATTGACGCAGCCGTGCTTTCACAAAAGTACGCGTCAAAAGCTCGCAACCTTTTATTGCGTCGCGTCTTATTTTCGACCGAGATTTCGTTTTAAAGCGCGGCCCGCGTTAATGGACCCTGATAAAGGTTCAAGGAATGCGCGTTACTCCAAAACGAGTTTCAATGGGTTGTTTAGGATCACGGACCACCGTATCACCGTCGTCGGATTTCTTTCGTGGCCTAATGATTAATGGACGAAACTAATCAGCTGTTAGATTTTTCGGAATCATTTATTACGTGATAATATTTTCGTTAACCGCATATGACAATGTACATTTTACCACGTGGGAACAATACTTAAGCATTATTAATGTTCAGCACGAACTTTTTCATTCATCTTTTTCTTTGAAGTAAAATACAAAGCGAAGATTACATCATCTATGACTTATGGCAAACAGATCACGCAAATGCTTTCCGTTTTCGGTCTTACATAGACGGACTCATTCTACTGCGCGCTCGAGGCTCGTCCTATATCTTGAGATATTTAGGTAGTGAGTGTTCTTCTGAAAAGGAAACTAACTTCAGGGATTTACGACTATAAAAGTTATATTAATTTTAAACCAGCTCATGAATCATCGACTGTATTAATAGCATGTTGCAAATATGAAATTCCGGTGACGTTAAAAGCGTTTAGGAAGCGGAAAAATAGGTTTCCGTCCTGTCGATTACCTCCATCGCGCGTTTTCTCGGTTTTCTTCGATTCCGTTTCCCTGTCGTCCGGCTACTAGGCCGCCCCATCAGAGCCGTGCACACACGTACACGGTACATAACAGAAACGAACACAGAGGCGATCTAGCTGTTACCTACGCGTGGGCAACCGGGGTATTGTCGGGTGAGTCATCTCTTTCTACCGTGTACCTCTCACCACCCCGTGTGCACCACGGCGAGTGCAGCGTGTGCAGCGCAGCCACGGTTTGTTTTCTGGGTAAAAGCCGTAGCCGCCGTGGCTCTTAAGAACAATGGAAACAAAAGAGGCACGCCGGCACGCGTGCTAGCACAAGGTAGCCATGGTCACGGCGGTCACGTTTCGCAGAATGTTCTGTCGTATATGTACATCACGGTACCGCGTCCTTTATGTACACCTATACCACGGCTACAACCTATGTACCTACCTACTGTGTCACGTTGTTACCTCGGAACTATGTACGCCGTCGTGCACCAGTCACCTCAATACGTCCGCCGTGTCTCGAATTCTGGACTATTCCTCCCTTCGAGACTCGAGGGGCAAGTGCCGACTACCTACGGACAATGCCCAAGACGTTTTTCTTACGCCTTCCTGTTTCCTCGTCTTCTCTTATACGCTTATAATACCGAGCATGTTCGCGGTCTAAACATCTTAAGATTCATTGTACTTGGAAGATACATACTGTTCTTGAATAAAACATTTTGATTGAAAAATAAAAGATTGTTTTTCAAAGTGTTCCTTAAAGTCATATACTTTGTTTCTTTAAGAAATAGAATTATAAGAGACGCACGTGTTCTATTAGCCGGAAAAAGAATGAGATAAAAGCGCGCGTTATGTAACGCGCTTTCGACCTAAATCATGTTACTGAACACTTCCTCCTTTGGGTTCGGTCGAAAGGCCAGTCGGATGAAGAGAAGAAAGTTTTTGATCAATTTGTAGAATAGAAACAAATAATGCGCATCAGTTGAAGGCGTGATCGATCATGGGGTTTTTACTTGTGTTGCGCAGGTCGAGAACGTCAGCCTCTGCGTAGGAGCGCTCCGGGCTCTCGGAGCAGACGTGGGATCCGTGAACCCTAGCGAACTGGCAGCAGGATCAACCCTCTGGCCGGTCCTTGCCCTTCTCTTCGCCCTCTCACGATACAAGCAGAGAGCCAAGCAGCTGCAAGACATGCCAAGGTAGGTCTCGATGCAGGTTCCTTCTTACCGACTACTGACACCGCAGACAACGTGCGAACCGCTCGCTTTCGTATCCACCGCGAGCAAACCGAATTCTCTCTGCATATGCTGCAGATAACTTTGTTCCGATCCAAGATAAGCTAGCGATCGTTGGTTACAGATTTTGTACTTAACGACGACACGTGCGATATTAAGAAGGAAAACAAGTACACTCAGTTCATTAATTTCATTTCTTTTAAATGTAGTCTGACACGTGGGCTACAATTAATTTACTTACTAGTTTACATTTTACCTAACAAGATTGTTTTTAATTCTCTGAGCTCATTCAGTACTAATTGAGAAATATTTTATATCTATGAATAAGCGTGATCAGACTTATTGATAAGAATCAAGTTATAATGCAATGGACGCTTTATAAGATGCTTTATAGAAGAAAATTTTAATGTAATTCCTGTTATAAAAATACGGTTTTCGTTAATAACGTACTGACTAACACGCGTCGCGGCGAATAAATCTTTCGATTATTCGGTATCGAAAAATGTCCGAGCATTTAAGAACTCGTCGTACTTTTATTCTTCACGAGTTCGAATCGATACCGACGTCCCGTCAGATGAACGACCTGACGCGGTGCCGTGCTCATTAACGTCCGCGTTAATCAAGCTGTACGCGTACCAACACCATCAACAGACCGAGAACATTATACCTTGTACGTAGTACGTATATCCATATCGCGCACGGGTTGGTGCATTGCAGAAATATAACCGCGGGTTTCAGATATTTTAATTATACGCGTGCGGGGTCCCGCGGTTAATTGCTCCCGGCGCTCGCGAAACACCAAGGAACTACGCTGACTTTTTCTTGATTCGCGACTCCCCGCGACTGTCAAGGTCGTTATTTTTAAACCTACGCTCGCGGTCCCACGCGAAAGATATCACGCGGAGGCTGTATGCTTTCGGGGAAACGAACGGGACGATATTAATCTTCGTTACCCGTCCACGTGCACTTTTTCCTCGAGTTTTATGCACCTACTTACGTATGCGTTTCGAAACAGCCATTATAAGTTCATTCCTATCGGATTCAGGTCTCCATTCTTATTGATCATTCAAAGCATCGATTGTGGTCTATTATGGTTAGCGCTTTCAGTTTCTACCCTAACAAGGGAAACCAATAAACTTTTCATTATATTTTATAAACTTCACGTATGATATTTTTTATCCACTTGGAAGATGTAAATATGATTTTGAATTAAGGGTAGTGCAGAAGCGTAGAACTTATGAATTATACATGTATAAGAGAACATAGAAAATATTTAAAAAAAAAAGACAAAAATTCGTGGCTATGCCGAATTTCAAGGTACGCCGTCTAATGGAGCGTGTAATGATTCCTCGCTGGAACGGAGAAACATAAACCGTCGGAACCTTTAGGAACGGTCGACATTAACATATTAACAATGCTCCATTATGCCCACTCGTGAGTGTGGACGCTCGCCACACAATATAACCGCACGTATACATCTAAACTCCCTCCGCGCGACCCAAACCGTATAGCAAACGTGGGTGTATTATGGTTCTGGTTTGTATAACGGGTGAGATGAAAATTCTGATCAACATCGTAACATATGAATCTTTACGTAAGACCTGTTTTTAAAGATTTCGATTTCAGTTTGATTGTAAAGAAAGTGTAGTACTGGAAAACGATGTTGCGTTTTATTTCAAAGTATATATGTTTACGTAAGTATATTTTAAATACTTATGTAATAGTGTAAACGAAGGAAGGCTGATGTAAGGAACTTCATAAATGTTCCAATTTGTCGATTTCGAATTTTTTAATTCTGTCGAATATCTCAATAATGTAAAACTTGTCATAGTGAGAATAATAAAATCTGAAAATCTGAATATGTAAAGGCACGTGGTGAAATTTAAGCACCATTCTTTGGGGAAAACACCGATATCGATTAATAAGGGAAGACTGGTGTTTGACCATAGTTGATGATCACAACTTAAGAGTTGAAAAGGTCTCAGAGCATAGAGAGTTAATATTACCATACGATTTCTATGTACATAAACCAATACTGTTAGTTCTTATGAATTTATGGAACGGCAGCTACATTGCGTTTGAATTATGTAATTAGTTTTTTCGAGTCACCCCGTGGAAAGCTGTTGCTTTCTCGTTTATGCGATTTGTACACACGGCTTACGTGCGAGCAAGTAGAAGCGACACGCGGCCGGGTCACTGTGTACGAGGTTCTCCTACTCGTATGAGGGTGTATTGTTACGTCTCGACACAATACGCTGCACGTGCTCGAGGTATGCACGCATTACCATAAAAATGATTTAAAAATCCACAGTAGTAAACCATAGCCGGTTATTGGCTGGCTCTTACGGAAAACTGGCGACGTCATTGGTAGACCGGTTCCAGTGGGGAAATCCATGGATGCTGTGCCGTGTATACAGATGCGTAGGAGAGAAAGGGAGAGCGAGCGAAGAAGGTGGACGCGACAGCGACAGGAGGAAGGAAGCCCGAGAGAATAGGATAGGGAGACTCGTGGGTGAAGAACGAGGAGGGGTGCATGGGGGTGCAAGGAATGAACGAAGAGGGATGAACGTGGGTTTGCCTAGGGAAGAACAAAGACGATACGGGGTAGAGAACGAGCGACTGAAACGGAGTAACAAACGGAGGAGCGTGGCAGGAGAACGGACAAGGACGGGAACAGATAGACACGAATATTGCGAAGAAGAGATGAAACGTGCGAGAGATTCTGCCGAAGGGAAGGTATACAGAGCGAACGTATCTGCATGGGGAGAGAAACGGCGAAAGGGTAGGGGGAAGGCTGGGGTGGTTAGGGAGCGAGGGAGAGAAAATGGAAAATCGGAGAGAGACGGAACGATGGGGATCGCGAATGGTAGTGGGGGCGAGGGCGAGGGAGGGAGAGAGCGAAAGAGAGAAGCCACGTGCTATGCCTGCTATGGGAACGGGAATGGTTCTCTCTCGGCGGGCCTCAGTTTGAAACGGGCTATCAACGATGCCTACACACCATGGCCACAGCCTGACCGTGGAACAGCTCGCCATAAGGCATCGACGCTACGGTGGACACAGTGTAGTGCAGTGAAAAAGATTTCTCTTAGAAGTTTTTTTTTTCTCTCGGAGCATTCCGATCCGAAAACAAAGACCGAGGCCGTCGATCGAGAATATGATCGATTCGAGAACGACCCCTAAATTAACCCGTTTCGAGAATCCTGCGAAGTCGGAGCGCGCAAAGATTCGGTTGCGATTCTCATCGAGATGAAATCGACGATACGTTGAATCGATCAGAAATGAGATACCCGGTGCTCCAACAAATTCAACTGATGGAAATCCATGACGTGATATTTAAAATACACTGCCACGTTTCCTGGAATGTTGCTGCTTGCTTAAGTCGCCGAGAAAACCTCTATTGTTCCGTTAATAAACGGTTCATCGGAAGATAATAACCATTTCGGTACATCCGCTAGCACGTTCTACCGGTTGTTGTTATTTTTCGTTGGTAGTAGAAGCGTAGCTATTTCAGAGTATCCCAAGCTTCTCCGATCATCGACGACGATATAAACCGCGTTGTACACGAAGGGATTCACGGATGAAATTAATTACACGTAACGGGAATGAAACTGCATATCGAATGCGCATAGTGATAATAAATTCGCGCGAATACTGCAAAGTACATATACTCTAACGATGTAAGGAATATACTGTAATACGTACTATGGGGAACATATCATTTTAAAAGTTCAACTATGACATAATGAGAAACATTGATGAGTAAGAAGCGTGTACGATAAAAGTTCAAGGTTGAACACCCTAAATTATTTTTACGTTTGACCAAGCACAAGGGAGTGGAGTTAAAAGTGTATGATACAGTGAGCAAGATCAAACGACGAAGCGAATGAATCACGGTTACTCCGATCCAAATCTTCGTTTTGCTTCACCCGTGTCCTGTCTGTCAATCGAAATGCGTGACGAAAATTTTGGCTGCGCCCGATAACAGCCGCAGATCGTATTGTTTGTCTTTGGACGGAGTTTAAAACGCATAGCTGCAGGGGACCGTGACCGCCTATTTTGTTTGTTTATCAGCCGAGAGTGTGCGTCGCCTCGCGTTTACACCGGTTGATTCATCGGGATACTTTTGACCGGTTAGAAGTGTCAGCGCACGCGAGAAGTGGTACTCTATTTCGGATCTCGCGCGCGGACACGAGCGGAAAGCTCCAAAAATCACGCAGAGATGGGAAACAGCGGAAGTAGCGGCGGAGCCAGCAGAAAGGCACGCAGTTTGCCAAATTCGCCGGAAGCGCACAGGTATCGTTCTCCACGGTCCGATTCTTTTTACCATCAACATTTCACTGCGACTTCATGCGATTATCGATTGAAAACAGGATTTTGTAAATTTTGTTATTTATTTGATACGCGAACTTTACAAAGTGAAGAATAAGTGAATTAAATTTACTGTTTCTCAGATTGCTAATTGTATTACATATGACTTTGTTACTGTTAAAGTAACATTACACGATCACTAGATACAATACTAGGAAAAGATTAAATATGTTTACTTCCAAGTGCACATATGCACAGATAATTTAATGAATTAATTAACTTCGAACGAGTAGATATTTCGTTGAATATTTTTTCGGTCTCGCTTTAGAAGACTTCTTCGAATATATTATTTACATTCGTATACAATAGTTCAAAAGCATTAGAGATAATCGAACGACATGACGTTTAGCTATCTTATTATGTACTGACTTGTGTGGTCACCGTGCCCCCGATAACGCATTACTCTCGTTGATCAATGAGAAAGTATAGCGTGCGGTAACAAATAACAGTAACACAGTTTTTCGTTCGTTCATCGACCACCGCATCGTGTCGGTTATAAACGATTCGTCGGGATGCGTGACAGAATGTTCACATTGAATCGCGTGTTCGGTTCGGGGCACTGCAGAAGGTGCGACCTGCAGTCAAGGTCTAACCGG